ACGCCCGCAGAGATTTTCGCTTTCAAAGAGGTCTTTATAATGCCTCTCGATTTCGGCCATTTTTAGAGGACACCGTTTTGGAGCGTCGGCATTCATTACAGTTTGCACAACCTTTTTTCTTTTATTATAATAATTATATTGGGCAACCTCATACTGGTACTGCTCCTGCCGACGACTCCTGTCTGCTTTGTTTGCCCTCGGCGGATTTGAAACTTGTCCAGCACTCTTGTCAGCCATTTTCATTTTATTTTTTTTCCTCATCCTATAGAATTTAGATCTCATCCATATGAAACGACGTGCCCGATCAGTATGGCAATATACCAAACATCCCGCTGATCGCCGTTCCTATAATTACCACTATAAGAAACTAAAGCGAGAATTAGCATCCTATAGATTCGAATTCTTTAACTCCTACATATCCTCCCTCTCTGTTCATCACAATTCCCTTTGGAAAACCACTCAGACAATCCTAAAACCTCAACTTATTTTCCATCCTCTCCGGCGAGATGACGGCTCCTGGGCAACATCTGACGAAGATAAAGCCGAGGAGTTCACCAAACATCTCTCTAATGCATATATTCCCCATCCTATCCACATCGTGACAGTCGAGGAATACCATACTTCACCAATCCCACTTTCAATGCCCACTAAAGCTATAAACTAATCCCCCGTAAATCTGCTGGATACGATCTCCTTATCCTCCAGATCCTTCTACAACTTCTATCAAAAGCAGTCATATTCCTTACCTACATCTATAATTGCATCCTACGCTCCACTCATTTCCCTCTATTATGGAATCATTCAAATATTATCCTATTCCCAAAACCAGGCAAACCTCCTAACAGCTTGACATCCTACAGACCCATTAGTCTACCCCCGATCCTTTCAAAAATCTTTGGAAAAAATCCTTTTAAAACAAATCCTACCTCTTATAGAATCCTAAAATCATCCTTCCTATCAGTTTGGTTTTCACTCACAACATTCTGATCAACAAGGACTCAAGGACGAGTTATTGATCATATTTCCTCAGCCCTAGAAAACAAGGAATATTGTTCAGGTGAATTTCTGGACATAGCACAGGCATTGCTACTTATGGCACCCCGGATTGTTCTTCACGCTTAAAATCCATTTACCTCAGTCCTTGTACCTAGTCCTCCGATCCTATCTCTCTAACCGTCCCTTCCGAGTTCGCTGTGGAACAGAATTTTCCGATATATATCCCGTTCAAGCCGGTGTTCCCCAAGGTAGCGTCTTAGGTCCCGTGCTTCACATCCTCTTTACCGCTGACATCACTGTTCATCCCGATACCTTCCTTGCAACATTCGCTGATGACACCGCAATCTTATCATTCTACTCTGATCTCAAAATTAATTGAGCACTGTTGTAATAAATGGTGTATTAAAGTAAATGAATCCAAATGCCAACACATTACCTTCACACTCCGACGCAATTCCTGTCCACCAGTACACTTCCATCCAGCTTCCTTTCTCAGACACAGTCTGGTATCTTTGCTTTCTCTAAGACCAAAGACTAACATGGAACCCACATGCTAGACGTAGAAGACAAGAACTCAACCGACGATACGGCCAACTATACAGGCTAATGAACAGAACATCTAAACTTTCAATTGAAAACAAATGACTTATCTACAAGACAACTCTGAAACCTATATGGACATACGGACTTGAACTGTGGGGGACAGCAAAATTTTCTAACATCAAACCCCTTCAATCTTTTCAATCTAAAGTGCTTCGAACAATAGTTGATGCTCTCTTCTATGTATTTTTTCTATTTTATAATTTTATAGCATGTTTTCAGTTTTTTTTTTATCTTTGTTTGGCTTATGTTGGAGAAATACATTAAAATTCAAGAAATACAATTCCAAATTCTTTACATTCATGGTGATTCCCGGGCATTATTTTATTCTTTATACAAAATTTTCTAAGTAATAGGATCACTAATAATTTTAATGTTCGTGCAGGCTTTACTTTTTCAAGCAAATTTGAGTAAACAATGGTGTGCCATAAGGATCTGTTTTAAGCCCTAAACTCTTCAACATTGCGATTAACGATATCAGATCGTTCATACCCAAACCTGTTAATGCTGCACTATAACGCTGACGACGTTCCGATTTATTATAATTCCAGCGATGTAAACTTTGGAAAATCCGTGATATAGGGTACTCTTACAGGTCTAGAAAACTTCAACCTTTCCAAATCCACGGCAATCCATTTATGCCGAATTCACAAATGTTGCCAACCATTTGTAGTGCATCTTGGCATCTTTCAATAAACTCGATTCTATAGCTAGGAGTGACCTTAGCTCAAAATTATAATGGAAATTACATATCGAAACGCTATTGTCCAAATTATCTGAGAAGTGCAACTTAATAAAAGTACTCTCCGGTCATACTTACGGTTGCGATAGGCTTTCCTTGTTAAGGATATATAGGTGTATAATGTGCCCGGGGATTGACTACGGATGCAATGTTTATGGGGAGGCTTAAAAGAAAATTCCAGTTTCCAGATCCAGTTCAACATGCAATGGTCCGTCAGGCAACCGGAGCCTTTAGGACAAGCCCTATTAACAGTTTGCTCTGAGAGGCTGATGAATGGCTGCTAGAACTTCGCAGACACTACTATCTTCTGTTAAAGTTTTTAGGTTGCTTAAATACGACAACTGACTTTTTTGATTTCTTAAAGTACAAATTATCTATTTTACTATCTTAATATCCACCAATTTCTTATTCCTACTCACTACCAAAGTTATTTAAAACGACTGCAAACCCATTACCTCCTTGAACAAAAAAAAGAAGAAGCAAGTTTTGATTTCTCGTTAAAAAAGAAAACACAAATAGCCAATCCATCAGGAGCATTAAAACAATACTTATTGACTCTCATAAATTGTTGACCGAGACTATACGCAACTCTCTCCCTCTCGCTTATTCTGCCTTCTCCTCCAAGCCCTTTACAATTTATTTATCCCTTACCATAATCATAAATGGTGAAATTAATAATTTAGTATATATGATACGTTCTATGATCTAATCCAATGATATTATCCAATAGAAACAACTCTTCATAACATATATATTTTATCAATAACAGATTTACTATACGAAAATCAACAGCTTTTTATAAACCAACCGGGAGGTTACAGCCTGGCTCGCCAGTGATTTTTTAATTAACATGCAACTACTCCGCTACATCACCTCCCCTCCAACGACTTCGTCGAGAAAACGGACTGGAAGTCCTGACCTGTCTCCTACTGCTAGTGGTTGTTTTAGGAACTTAGCGGTCTTCTTCGGCGGAGTAATTGAATTTATTATCCTTGAGTATAGTTGGAGTGTCCGACTAGCTGGAACTTGAGTCTTGATCATTTAGAAAGAATGCTGCCTTCAATCTGTCGATAGTAGCGGTCTTGGGGCCATTTGGAAATTGGAGGACGAATGTCTTCTTGCCTCTCTTTAGAACCTTATAGGGACCAATATATGGCGGAACGAGCGGCCACTGGGCCATGTCATCCCGCAAAAAACTTGTCTATGCGTTGCTGTTGATCTGGGCTATGAGAGCCGTCTTGAGCGCACAGTGTCATCCCTCGACACAGCCGTTAGCTTGAGGGTTATAAGCTGTAGTCCTGCATCACCGGAAACCTAAAGTCTTAGACAATCGAAGAAAAAGATCAGAACTGGCACCCTTGATCAGTTGCGATGAGTGGCGGAACATCAATACATGATATCCATGCCTGGCAAAGGGCCTCGGCACAAGTAGCTGCTGATAAATCTGCTATTAGTTGAGCCTCTGGCCATCTTGTGTACCTGTCTACCATTATAAGACAGTATGCTCAAAACGGGCAGAACGCAGAAGAACGCCGGGGGGTGCAACCGTTTGACGCTGCACCTTGGACCACTGAATAGAGCTTTCGACCATGTTCCAATGTCTACATTTTGACTTGGACAAAAAATCCCCCTGGTCTACAAGTCGACACAAAGCTCGTACTCCGGGATGGCTAAGATTATGCATTTACCGAAAAATCGACCGGGAGGCTTCGCCAATGCCTTTTTAATTAACATGAATCTACTCCACTATAATAACAATTCTAATTCTTATTTAAATTCAAATTCCAATAATAATCTAATTCTGTGCGATTCTTACTCAGCCCTGAAACTAATAAAAAAAATTTAATTCTGCAGAAATATTTTGGTGTTCTCTTCACACACAACTCATTAAAAAAAACTAACAATAATATAAAATATATCTGGGTTCCGAGCCATTTAGGTATAACGGGCAATGAACTTGCTGATATTGCAGCTTCCACCTTATTTCTAGTTCCTGAAATTAACACAGTGCTGAACGACTACAACAAATCAGTAAAGAGCCTTTGTAAAGAAGCTTGTCCACTCTCATAGATTACAGGAAAGCCCAGGGAGCTAACTATTGTAACACACTTCAGAATGTGCCCTATTCATGGTCACCTCCCCGATGGGAATTCGCCACCAAGATGTAGCAGCTGCTACATATTTTTAACGACTAAATATAATCTAGTACAATGTTCGAGCTTGGATCGATCAAGAAAATCACATCGGCTACGATGATACCGACAAGCTATACAATCAGAAAACTTGTTCCAATTTCTTAAACAACACAATAACTACAGACATATTTAAACAACACAATCCTTATATACCTTCTAGGCACATCACAACTAACCTATGCAGTTGTAACAATATATATCTGTATATAGATATCGATATATCTTTAACCTTAACAACACAATCTCACCCGAAACAATACAATTTTTTACAGATATGTTTCTATTGAATATGTAATTGAAATGAATATGAAATAGAAAAAGGTGCCTGTAATCTATGTAGTTGCACATGGCATCCGAATATTAAATAATAATAAATATAAATTTACAACTTAATTTTAAGTCTAAGTAAAGAATAAATTATTATAGCGCTTTAATAATATCATCAATCCTTCATCTATTCAACTTACCATTATGACTGATTGTGCTCCAGGACCACTCCCAATGACAATTATATGGTAGCATGGGCAAGCTGGTGGTTCTAGCAGGAGATCTAAGCGACCGAACCGACTGGCATTTACGATATCAAAGCAGTTTCCTATGTACGTCTTTTTACAGAACAGGAAAGGAGGGGTGTTTCCTGTGCAGCGTACCAATGCTTCTCTAAAATGTCTGGTGGCTCCTGAAAAAAAAATCGATTGGTTTCAAATATAAGGATTGAATGAATAATTAAATGCTGACATCACTAACAGTTCAAAATATCTAAGCAAAATCGTTAATTTTATTTAATCGGTGTTAGTGTCTGTGTATTTGAATCAACGTTTTACAAAAAATGTGACGAGGCTTAAAGTTTAATTTCAGCCTTGCATAAAAATTCAAGTAAAAATAAAATAGACAAAGAACAGTCTATAATGTCTTTTTAATGTTGATTTAAAAATGTGGTAAATATTTTAAAAATATCTTCCTTAAGCTGCTTGCCGTAAGCAATTGGATTGAAATAGAGTATTTTTATTAACACAACACTAGTTATATTTTTAATTTTTGTGAGATGTTTTCGAGAGGTTAGCGAGGTTTTCACCATGAGACTCGCCTTCCTTTTACTAGTTGTTCTCATTTTTCCACGACAGCAAAACTGAGTACGTTGAATGTTATTTGTACCAAGAAGCAACTCACCTTTAAGATTTTATGAAAAATCATAAGCAAATCTAACAGAACACACCATTGATGAAGGCGAAGTACTTTTACGAGTCACATCCTCATAGGATATTTCAATTATACAATCTAACCTGAGTTTAGCTTTAGTAAAAAAAAAATTCAGTACCTTTTTTTTATATTTATTTATTTACATCTCTGCCGTTTCTGAAGGGACATACAAGTTTTGCACCAATGAGATGCTGCGCATGTCTACGTAGCATCACACAGCTGTCAGAAAAACAATAATACAGTTTTCATGAGCTATGTGCCCAGCTTGATCGCACTATCTCTTATTAAGACTGATCAAAAAAGCTTATTGTGCCTAATTTTACCCTCAGCACGTTGACTAATTTTCCCCCAATAAAATTTTTAGCTTGCATGCTCAATTGAGTTTGTAGGCCTGCAAGAGATCACAAATGGATGTGAGAATGTGAAAAATACATCCTCATCAATAGCGGTAACAGGCGGTGCAGGTTTTATGATAAATTTTTTTTTTTTTTATTTATTTATTTTAAATGAAATTTACAACTGTATACAAAAAATACATCTAGTAAATTTGCACATTGGTATAAAGACATGGAACACATGTTGAGAAACTACCCATTGGTAGCACTCTAATAATATGTCTATATTAGAAGATCACGTGGCCATCTTCTTTTCAGACGCCTCGGAGGGTTATCAGGAATCGAATAGGAAGCAAGGTTAGAGACAAGAGGGTTGGGATGGTTATGAAGTTTATTATGGAAGGACAGATATCTGGATTGGGCCAAATCTGATATATAAGGAACATTAAGGTTATGATAAATAAGAGCCTATAGCACATACTAATTGATTACCGTGGTATTTTTTTTTAACTTGTTTATTGAAAAAATATTACAATCTGTCTCAAAAGAAATTTATCACATTCACACTCTATGAACAATAAATAAAATAAATTATACAGAAAAATAATATATGTACAATAAATAAGAATAAAATAAATAAATAAAAAGAACACACACATACACTATTAACAATCTGGCGAGAGAACTCCGAGCCAGACTTGTCTCTCCAACTGTGGAGGGAAAAGCATGATTCTAGGAAATCCATGCTCTTCTCTCACAACCGCGTCACTGGGGCTAAACCCAGTGGAGATTGAGCAAGAATTTGATTAAGGGCATTTATGGATTTCTGGGAGGTGGGATGAGGTTGGTTACAACACTTGTAAGGGGAGTTATAAGTGGGGTGATGAGGGTTTTAAACTAAGATGTAAATGTTGTAAGTAGGCTGATGAGGTCAGAAGTGTTGTTAGGAGGAGGAATGTAAGAAATTTGATGTTGGTACAACTTATTGGTATTAGATCTAGGTTGAGAAATGGAAGGATGCGGTGGATGGGTTCGGGGATTTTAAGGTGGAGGTGGTGCTTGCGGCAGAGCCTGTGATTCCAAAGTCTCTTCCGTTTCTTCTAGCATTTGAACGTAGGCAGTAGGCCATAATAAGCGGTGGAAAATTATTTTTCGATTCAATCTGCTGCCTTACTTCAACCGGACCAGTTTTTATAGATTCGGTTTGTTTCGAGCGCTCAATCACGACCAGAGGCGCCTTACTCTTGAAATTTTCCCAACTCGATGGTGGTTAAGCATATTGAGAATCTTCATAGTAAAACTGCTGAAACGCATGTGATAGAACAAGGTATCTCTGAATTGTAAATCATATCAGTACGATGATACTGATATGATTTACAATTCAGAGATCACAATGACTAGAATCATTTCGAGCATTGTTTTGCCTAATGGTTTGAAACTCTAAAATAATGTAACAAGGTTTTTCCATTTGACTTGATGTTTTAACAGACCAGATTTGTCTTTTGCTTTTTGGCAAGAGTGGATAGTCAAAGAGTTCCCAGCTACGAAAAGGATTAAATAAAGTACGTCCTTTCAACCCTAAGGTGTCACTCATCATGCCGGTTTCTTATTAAAATCAATTCTTGATTCAAATTCAACATGATCTTTGGATAATCTTCGAACACTCCAAGCAAATTCGCCAATGGAATTATCACATTAAACTCACCTTGGGGCGATATTAAGTTTGTAATCTCATCATTTGGATACCACCATCCAATTAAATTGCCCTCCACTAAGAGAAACGAAATATTTTAAAGTAGACGTAATTCTAGGGTTTTTCACACAATCAACTTCTACTCCGCTGAACTCATATCGGATCTCATCGAAAAAGAAAGCGATCGCATTGTTTGCCAATTTCGGTAATCTTGAAATCGTCATTCCGTCTTGTTGGATAAACTTTCCTTCGACTTAGAGTAGATTGTGGCTGGGTAATGTGCACAAGTCAAGACTGGTTGCAAACTATTATGAAACCAAGGTGTTGCAAACTGATATGAATCTCGTTACCAGATGAAAGTTTTCACAAGGCGTATGGATGATGATGAAGATAGATCTATAGATGGTGAAGATCTATGCATTCGAATGAAATTCTAATAATGGGACTTCCCTCTAAGTTTAAAATTGTTTCCATGTCGATGATAGAACGTGGTATTCTAGTGATTGAAGAAATATAATATTACTCGCACTCAATGATGCTTACCCTTCAACAATTTTCACTGGAATGATGCTTCTGTCCACGGATACGCCTTTATATACCTTTCTGAAGTCTAAACCCATGGTTTCTTCAAATCGGAAACTATCTAAATGAGATGCAATAAATAGAGGAGGCACAGCTGACCGCAATTGTTAGTCATCGTTTCTTGATACAGTTTATCGTTCGTAGAGATTCGATAATTTTTATATTACGCACTAACTCAGATGGAGATTCAGCTCCTCTAATCGAAGCAGTAAACTAATTGTCCAATTTTCGTATTGCAGTTTTTCCACGGTTTGTTGGGAAATTCGCCTCTCATAAATACCCCTCTAAATGTGCAAATTTTATGCACTTTCGCCAGCAGTAGTAGATCGAAATTACTCAATCTCGTTTTAGGTATAATCCGCTGATATCATTTAGCTTGGTTGCTCAATTTAGTCGCAGTACCTTCAATCTGTTTTGGCGTGACGATCACTTGTAGCTTCCTTTTCTTCTTTTTGTTGTTGTCAGCATAACGTCTCATGAATGATCATTATATCGATAATAGCTTCGATGGCCTTCTCCCAGCCATTGTGTGAATTATCGAAACCAAAACCTTATTGCCTTTCCTTCTGATCACCTTCTCAACAAGATAGCAGTCAGAATATTTAACCAACTGAAGCTCTTCTTGATAGAAACCTCCTGTGATAGTTTCATCTCTGCCATACTTCAAGTGATATAGTGGCACAGTGTGTTTAACCCGCTCTATCATAAATATTTCCGACGTTCGAGACGGTTGATAACCTTTTGTGAACTGAGTCTTGTACTTTGAGATTCCCACTCGATCTCCAGCTTTGTATCTCGTGGTGTTTGTGGTAGATTTCTTTTTACCATGACGTCAAGTAAAAGTCGTTTTTAGATTTTTCTTCCATGAGCATCTATCGGCTTCGTTTTCATTGTACTATGTTTTCTATTGTTATATTCGCTGAGAAGAGAATTCAAATTTGCTAACCAATTGTAATTGGGTGGTAAGCTGATTTTTTTCCACATCACGGATTTTAATGTACGATTGAAAAATTCCACTATAGAAGCCTTCAGATTGCTGAATGTAGAGTAATGGTTGATCTCACCATTGACTTTCAAAAGTTTTTGAAACTCCTTGTTGTGGAAGCAGTCTTGCCCTAGCCTTCAGGCAGATAGCATCGGTGTTCTTCTTAATTGTGCAAAATTGTAAGTAGTGCTATTACAGTTCAGTTCACCGTCACTGAAATATCTAAAGTGCTCTTAATATTAATTGCGTTGGCGAAGAAAACAATTTAAAATTGTTGTGATATAGCCGAGCGTAAGATAAGGCGCGTAACCCCACTACAGTTACCTCTCCCCCCACCACCTCTAACGGTATCTATCTATCTACGTGGCGCTACAACCCATGGTGGGTCTTGGCTTCCTCAATGAACCGCCGCCATTCAGTTCGATTTTGTGCTGCCGCTCTCCAGCCTCTGATCCGTAGCAGGCTCCAAGCGTCCGCTGCCACTCCATCAACCCATCGAAGCCTTGGCCTACCAGGCCGTCGCGTACCATGAAGGGCGGTGTCCACCACTTTTTTAGAAATTTCTTCCGCTTTTATCCTTGCAACATGTCCAGTCCAACTGAGCCTCCCCAGCTTAATAAACTTTACAATGTCCATATCCCCGTAAAGGTCATAAAGCTCTCGGTTCCTCCTAATACTCCATCCATCTCCATTTCTCACTGGGCCAACTATTCGACGTAAAAGTTTCCTTCCGAAAATCAGATTATTTTCGTCACTTTTTGAGATGGTCCAGGATTGGGAAGCATTGGTAAGAACCGGGCGTATAAGCGTCTTGTATATGACCAGTTTAGTGCCCCTGGTAATGGATCTGCTGCGGAGAGTTTTCAGTAAGGCAAAATATGCTCTATT